GTTGTGGCAGCACCAAGGCTGTGGGCACCCCCACGAGCCACCCCCAGTGGTCAGGGCAAATGGGCTCCACCGCTGGGCGCTTCCCAACAGGAATCATTGGAACAGCAGCGGGATCCTGCCACTTGCTGTGTTGGTGCATGCCCAGTGTCAGGTTGAGGCCGGCTGCCAGCGGCCGGGAGCCAAGAGCGCTGTAGTCACCACCGGCTACCGAGTATTCCCAGCCGTTAAAGGAAACCTCTGCTCTGGCAGTCAGGTGGCTTAGGATATCCGAGACTTTTGTGTCTTGAAGAACTGCAGATCAGGATGGAGAATGTTAATGCTGTGGAGTGTCCTCTGTTCTTTGTATACTGACTCCCTGGACTGTTCCCTTGCTTATGGTTTTGCCTCACAGGTCATCTTTACTTTAAACAGAAATCATGATTTTTAATGCAAAAAACATTCTACAAAAGCAAAGCCTCTTCCTATACCASTGATGGTGGGAAACATCAAAATGAGAGAAATTTTCAAGTTATCTTACTTTTCCTCCTGTTTGATTTCTCTTTGATTAGGTAACAAAAATGAAGGTGGTAGATTWTTTTTTTTCTTTTTGACTTTTGCAAGGAGTTCTTTGCATTTTTACATACAATCCACATGTTTTGTTCTTTTAAGAAAAAAAATAATTTGTCAATACGTTTTAATACCTTTTGTTAGTACAGAATCCAAATGTTGGAAAGATACTTAAGTTCATGGCTCCATAGTGTAGTTGAATTAATACTGTATGCATATATCTTGGGGGAAGATTCTAAAAATATTTCGTGGTCATTGGCAATAGAGAATTAATAGACTTGAAATTAGGTAATGTATGAGGAAATAAAAGTTTAGTTCTGTAGGCAGAGAAAAGGCTTGTTTTAAACATTCTTTACCTCTTTTGTGGACCAAGTGTTGCACTAGCAGGTAACACGAAGTAGCCATCGCTGCAGAGTAGCAATGAAGCAACAAAACTCTTGTCTGTGGGTGTGTAAAGTACCAATTACCTGTACGTAACTTCATGGTACATACACGTATTTCTGTGTATGTGCAGAGTTCTGCTCTGCCGGGGCCTCTGGGCACTCGTGCAGTGTCCTGCAGCTTATGAAAAAAAGCCCTGTGCATTGACAGAAAGCCCGACATCCCTGAGAAGCATAACCTAAAATACTGTCTTGTATATTTTATGTTGCTCTAGCTTCTAAAATAAGACAGATTTTTGATTTATCTGGTCTGTCGGAAACTTTTTTTTAAGTTCAACTTTTCTTTTTTTCTCTCTCAAACCCTGTCTATTGCAGTGAAAGCCTTTTATAAAATAGAGAGATTGAAATCAGTCCTTTGTATGCATAAGTGTAGGTAATTATACTTTAAAGAGAACTTGCTTTGTACATTTTAATTTTTATAAAGAAACGAGCAGTTATCTCCCTGACACCTTATTAAATGTATAATTAACCTTATGATCCCTAGCTCACTTGTGAATGCTTGGCAGTATAATTGGAGAGGAACAGTGTTTCTCTTTTTCATTCTTTTGCAGTCCTAAACCTCGTTTTTCTAGTATGTTGAAGTATTAGTTTAATTCTTTCCCCTTTTGTTTTAAACAAACTTCATATCTACCATTCCAAAAACAATATTTATCAAAAGTGGGCAAGAAATGAACTTGTTTTCCATGTTTCGTTTTTGTATGTGTTCATTTTTTTAATGGTCAGTTWTTTCTTTTATAGAGTAATAACGTGGTTATAAGTAACGTATATTACTGTATTTTTTAAATCTCTGCAATAGCACATTTTCCCCTTAGTCATTTTACTTATGTATGTGCTCTTGACTGTTTCATTAATAATTTCTTTTTCTGCAGAGGTGTGGTTCATTATTTGAGAAGAAAGCTTTAGGGAGTTTTATGGCTAAATCATCAACTAAACCAGGACAGGTATAGTATCTTTGCATATCCATTACTGAATATATAACAATATCCTATTTAATCGTTTTTTTTTCTTTTTTTTCTTTTTTTTCTTTTTTTTTTTTTTTATCTCAACCTTCAAAATGTTTTTATATTCACAATTTGACAGTAGTGTTAGTTTTCTCTGTGGAGGGGGAAAAAAAAGGTTAATTTGCAGAGCTCGTTACATGTTAAAAAGTTTATTTTATAGAGCATAGTGAAGAGGTGAATGTAATTACTATTTCTCTGTCGTTTCTTCATTTTTCATGTGGTACGTTAGATCCCACAAATGTCACACTTCYTTATTTACAGCGCTAGCCAGTTCAGTTCATGGGGATTTAACTTGAATATTTTGTTTGTTTGTTTCGGCAGCAGTCTATGAATATAAATGCAAGTYAGGCATTTTGTAACAAAAAAATGCCTTGATGCTTGCGTTACAGGACATATTTTGTATTGCTTGCTATGGTGATTTGGGCATGAATCTAATTTGAGGATATATTCAGATTTCTGTCTTCCTGCTCTTTGCCCATAATTCAAAATATTCCCATTTCTGGCCTGATCACACCTAACAAGTGAGGAAAACTATTTTTTTTTCTCATGGAGGAGCAGGCCTGGAGACAATTTATACAAAAACAGAGTGAATATTTTCTAAATGATTAAAATATTCATCRATACATATTGATAAATTTGCTGTTAACAAATATTTATAGTAAATTCTACTGCAAAAATAATAATGACTAGTACTTGATAAAGATGCTACCAATTTCTGTGAGTCTTTTTGATTTGTTTTTTAATTCAAGCCCTGAGACTTTTAGCCTAGGGTTTGGGGAGGGAAAGGGATGGGTGCTCCTATTTTAAGCACAGTTATTAGTTATCTGGCTAGTTTTAAGCATTGATCATCAGCCACCATTAGTCAGTGAAGCTGTTATTGCTCTGTCTTATTAAATTGTTGAAAGCCTTGCGTATTGTAATCACTAGACAAATCACTTCYTTCAAAAAATGGAGATAGTAATTTCTAGATTCCTTTTCATGGGGATTTTAGCCCCCTGCCTCCACATCATTTCCCTCCCTATCCTCGTTAATCATTTATTTTATTTCGTTTTGTGCCCAGTTTCTTTTCTGTTTCCTATCTGCATGGGACTTCTACAGTCGGTTGAACAATTCACCACTTTAAAATTTCTTTGAAAGAGTCTGAAATAATTCTAATTTTGGCACTTCTTGTTGGTTCCATAAGATCTGAAGTTAATACTGCATCTGTCCATGCATTTCATCTCAGGCAAAGAAGATAGAGACTCTTCTGGAGCTGGTTCCTGACCATCTCGACCTGGCAGCTGCATACCGCTACCTCATAAGATGTCACGGTAACTTACTGCTTTTGCACTGAATTTTTTTTTTTTTTTTTTAATAAGAACCAAATCTTAATGCTTTTGAAATGGAAACCCTCAGAGCGATGGTCTAATCTCTGTTGTGCGAGTTGTAGCTTGTTTTCCAGTTTGAGTTGCAAAGAGGTGGAGTTTGTGTTGACTGGATGGTCTTTGGTTGGTTTAAGTTTGGGCCTCTGGGCCACGCTCAGCCTCAGGCTGGAAAACTCAAGCCTGAATCAAACCTGCAGAAAAGATGTGCTAGACTAAAGGGTGGTGCTAYGGCAGAGGCTAATGGGAAAGAATCCATCCCAACCTATGGAGAGAGTCATTTTGCCAATCTTCACAAATGAAAGTCCTTACAAATGGATCCAGGGTATGTTTTTGGTTTTGAAACGTACAATATCTGTCTCCATTCCTTTTACGTGGCCCCAGATCATCATTAGTTCTATCAGTAGTGTGCAAAGACATTATGTTTATTAGTGTAGATTTTTTTATACCTGGGTTTATTTGGCTAAAATTAATATTCTAGCTGCCTTCATTCGGATTAGCTAAGCAGTTGATCTGAAGGACTAATCACCTCTTTTTATGTGGAAGTGAGACGAGAACAGCTCTAAGGAGGGAAGTGCCGGGTTGAAATACGCTATTTACAGCACCCACCTTTGAGAAGGCGGGACGAGCATCCCGTCTGGCAGTGCGCCCCGGTACTGCCTGCCCCAGCGCCCGCAGCCTCGTGTGCTCCCACACGGATCTCTGACACGGGGCTTATTTACAGGGAGGAAATSACATCCCCTTCGCACGTGCCTTACGAGCAGGGAGATAAAATGACCGAAGTCTTCRTGCTCTAATATACTGCAGGGGAGATTAATGGGAATATTTTAGTACAATACTTCTGAAGCAAGCCCAGTGGCTTTGACCTTCTTCAGCTCATCCAAGCAGACTGCTAAAGGAAAACAAATTTTCATGTATTTAAATTAACTTGAAGGTATCTTAGAGTGTTGTATCTGACTTTAAAAACTCGCTTGCATAGTTATGTTCAGAAGAGCCATTGCTAGCAAAATGCWTTAGCTCTGTGGTTTCATTCACAGAGGAAGTTTTATACCATGTCATTTTTAATGACAGTAATATTAATGACATTATTAATAAATGCATTATTGTCACCRGGGCACACGCGGGTGCCATGCGCCGCTCCCAGCGCCTCTTCGGCACCGGAGGCAGAGACAGGCCGAGCCCACCAAGTGTGTCAGTGTGAGACACATTTCACCCCTGAATCAGGTGCAGGGCGCCAGTCAATTGCTTGACCTGCTTTACCAGGGCTCGCTTGCATTGGGCAGGATGCTGTTTTGGCATTTTCCATGACATCTTTCTGGTTTAGGAAGGGAGGTGTTGTCCTACTACCTGGGATCTGGTGACAAAGCGTAGCTCCTGGAAAGAGGAGCTGTCGTGCCCACATCTCCTTCGTGCAGGCTGCTAAATACCATTTATTAGCGCCTTTTTGTTGTTTTCCATACAATAAATACTTCTAGTTTAACAAAATGGGAAGTTAATCATTTCTTGTAGAGTTTCATTAGAGTTTCATTAAACTGTCACTTCATGCGGGTTCTGCAGCCTCCCACATTGCAACAGTAGCTCACCCACTTTCCAGGTGTGAGTGGGAAGCCCTTTCTCGTGCGAAAGGGACCCAAGCAATCTCTATTTCTGCATAATTTAAGCCTTTTTTTTTCCTTTTTTAACCTCTCAAGCACCACTTCATTCCGCTTGGGAAGATAACTTTCTAAATAGGAACAAATTCAACCAGTGGTATGGCAGGTTATTTCAATACATCCTACATTTGTGTTTATTTGATGCTTTGCTGTGGAAAGAGCCTTATGGCTCTGCATGTCGGATGTCACGAGGCTTCCCGCCGTGCGGCTCCTGCTCYGGTGGGACGGGCGCATCCTGAAGGAATCACCCCGCCAGCTTCCAAGGCAAAGGGAAAGCTGTGGCGGCTCTTCTGGGCTCTATTCTTCACGTGTGAATTGGCCATAGCCCTTTTAGAATATGTCTTAGGAAATAATGGGAATGGGTGAAAACAGGTGACAAGGGCAACTTCAACCGCTTCTGCGTTGTCATTTTTCTCTTTGTTTTTTTCCCCTCAGAATTGGATGGAGATGTTGCTTCTGTAAAGGCTGTGTATGAGAAAACGAAAGAAAAGAATATAGAGCTTCACGAGCTCTCTCTGAAAACTATAGCAACTTTCCTGAAAAATGCAGGCGAATCTGTCCCTTTCACTGAGCCCCCCGTGAGTATTTCTTGATTAAGAAATGGATCTGCAGAGTTGTGTGTGTTTCATATTCATATAATCAGTTCCATAAGTGGGGTAARTCTCTGCAGAGACTCCTCAAAGGAGGTAATGTTTGAAGTAGGTACGTAGTGTGGTGGGAGCTATGGAAATCTTTCATTGGCTTTGCTTTAGGAAGGCTTACTGTTTTTAAAGTACCTGATCTTAATCAGGCGCTCATCTACAGGTGAGTGTTTATTAAATGTCCTTTGGATGTTTATCTCACTGGTTAAACCTCAGAAGGTTGAATGGGTCTTAGTTGCCAGTAGCTGGCTGCTTTATACGCAGTAAAAGCTGCTGTTGGTGTGATGGAGCTCGCAGGAATGTTTCCTCCCACTGCAGCTTCACCTCTGGCTGCTGTGCCCACAGCCGCCTGCAGCCGTGTGCACAGCTCCTATTTGAAGGTGACAAGTGGCCTGACACCACATCTGTCAAGCCTGCAACTCTGCTTGGACATCACTCCTTTGGCTGCCAGACCACTAGTGCCAGTTTAGCTAAGTGCTGGGCTTTAGAGAGTTGCATTTTCTCTCGCTGGGCAAATTTTTCTATTGCCATTTGCCAGCCCCTTTTTGCATTTTGCAATAAGTTTTGCTAAGGAGTTGAGTAGAGGTGTTTTCTCCATAGGGCGTCATGTTCAATGTGAGTGTCAAATGGAGATGTTTCCCTTTTCTCAGCCACAAATACATTTGTGGTTAAAAACTGACACATGTGAATTCTTTTTAAATTTATGAAAAAAAAGGGAGATGTTGCCTCAAAATGTTTGTGTCTGCCTCTTACCAGCTGCACATTTTTTTCTGAAATTGTGACATAATTTCTAATACAAATTTCATTTTAACTGTGTAAAATTAAATCCTAGAACATCTGTTTCTTACTTGCAGTTAGTGAAAACAGAGGGTTTTTTTCCAAAGTYACTGCAGTGATTTATCATCTGGTGTACCTGTTCAGTTATTTCTTTCATACAACTTGATGTTTAWAAGCATCTTATACTTTTTTTCCTACAGAATTGCAGATTGCAGTTATGTATTTTCATTTTTAAAWGAAACTGATTATATTATTGCATTTTGTAATAGATGCTTCTTCATTATGCATTTTTGGCAAGGTTTTCTCTTTGCCTTTTATTCTCTCCCTCTGGTATTTCTCTTAATTATACAGACTTCAATACAGATGTAGTTTTCCATGGCAGAGAATAATAGATTTTGCTTTTGTCAGGATATATGACGTTGCTAAGAATTAATAACTTTTCAGTTCAAACAATGTTAAACTTATTTATTCCACTTTTCTATTTATAGGAGTCTTTCAGATTCTATGTGGAAAAATTGAGGAAAAGCCAAGCTGAAGCATCATGAACAAATGCTCTTTTATTATTTAGTTTATGAAATTGTTTAAATATTACATTCAATAAAAATTTTAAAAAGCATGTTCCTCTGTGTAATTTTAATATAAATGTTGTGTTTAATCAGCACTGTCCATAGCTGCAACTAGTAGAAAGATTAATTGATAGAAATGGTTTTCTTCTGTTAAAATTGCTAGTGAAATACTAAGATGCAGCTTCCTAAGCTCTTCTTTTTTGATGTTTCACCTGCTGTGACCTGAATTGCACTCTGATTTCAGTTGCTTCATTAAATACATGTATATATGAACCAAGAAGGTGGCTGGAGGGGTTTGTAACTGTAATTTAGCCAACTGTCCTGTCTTGCTTTGTTCTTTCCGTGATCACTGTACTTTGGGGTGGAAAGAGCAACTTTATCAAGATTCATCTGTACTTACTGAGAAAAATAAAGACATCTTTCGGTTAGAATTCTCCTACATGTACTTTTGTGTGAAATATCTTGTTGGGGACTGGATATTAAAGGAGATTTTTAAAAAATCACCTTGTACCTTTTACACCAGCTTATATGTTGTAGGTTTGTGCTGTCTCTAATCCATTCTCCCAGCTGTTGCTCTTTTTATGGCTGTAGGAATTGCATGTCCAGTACAACATGCCTTTAAACAGAGGGGGTGTTGAAGGGACAACACTTGTTTATGCACTAGAAGACTGAGGAGCRCACTTGAGTTGTGTAAATGTGAGAGCTGGCATAAGCTCCAAAGCCATAAAGATTTCAGCCTGTGTCTGTGGGGCCTGGAAATATCCCCGTGGGTTACTAAGATGAAAGGGAGGGTACAAAGCAAGCATGTCCCTTACCCTGTGCCTGATACGGAAGCCCACAGATCTGTGTATCCATATGCACAGGGGAGTAAAGCACCAGTGCAATAATTCGGGCATGTTGGCATGTTGTAATTTGGTGCCCYACAGCAAGGCTCCCATGAAAGCTTCTCTGGGAGCATTTAACTTTGTGGAAGTTTTTTGTGGATGTTGTTTTGCAATTTTAATTTATTTGCTTTTGTTCCCCATATAAGCAAGCCTGTATAAAGAAGAAGTTGAGGATCTTTTTTTTTTCCAATAAATTCTTCATTTAAATTAGCATATATACTTATAAATACAAATGTACAAATAAATCTTGTGCTCAAAAAATGAGGCAAAAGGGAATGATAACGGGCAAAAGGGAATGATTTGTTTTCCAAGCAGACTGGAGGAATCCCAGTTATGAGCTGTCACTACATTGGTGCTGTGGCTTCATGATAACTTTAAACATTAGAATGCAACTTTTTTTTTCTATCCCATTTTTGTTTTGCTGTGTTTAGCCTTTTCTATTGGATTTGTTGGGGAGAATCTCTGGTTTTGGATTTCATCTGGTACTAGTAGGTCGTTCAAGGACACCCCTGTAATCCAGAATGGGGTGGGAAGAGATGAAAAGTCCTGAAATACGGATGTAAATGTCTTTACATGCGAACAAGAACACGTACCCTAGATGGTATCATGTAGCTCGTGGTTCTCGCTGTCTTGCACCTATTGTTCCTGTACAGCCAAGTTCAAGGCATTAACTGTAGAAATTTCATTCAGAGCCTAATGGCGGCCGTGCCCTATCTGAAAGCGAGACGGCGCGGGAGCCAGTTAATTTCATGTAAAGACGGAGATGTTTCCCCTTGCGAAGCCGCAGCGACATTGAACGTGTCTCAGTGTAATAGCAGCATAATTGGGCRCCGTGTCAGCGCGTTCGCAGCCTTTCCCTGGTGCCGCAGCTCCCGCTATGGGAGGTCACCGCGTGCGGCTCCATTTCAGCGCCAGGGCCGGGCGCCTAAGTGGAGCCGCACGCGAGTGCTGGCAAGGCCAAGGGGCCGCCCGGCCTGCTCCGTAAGCWGGATTCACCCTCGGAAGAAGGGAGCCACACACAGACGCCATATGGAAGGCGATGGCTGCGCTCCGTGGATCCCAACGTGCGGATCCGTGTGCCGGAGGGGCCCCGTGGCCGCCAGGCTGGCTGCCATGGCAGCCTGGGTGCCCTCTGCCGCTGCTGAGGCACGAGGCCTGATCCCGATTTGGCGCCAAGGGCAAGGCAGGGATTACCCGGGAGAGGACAAGATGGCGGCCGTGCCGGAGTGTTGCTGAGTTTCCACTCGGGGAGATGTTTCCTTGTGCCATTAAGGAGTGATTACACAGGGGAACAGAGTCTCTCCTGTCTTTACAATGTGGGACAGTGAGGGATTCGTGCCAGTCTGGGACACCGTCACGTCCGGCTGAGCCCGTGTTCCGCTGGGAAGGTTTTGCAGAGTCGGCATTTGTGCCACCTCGCCTAGGAGGACACGCTTGAAGAGGCGAGTTCCTCGTGTGCTCTCTGCTCCTGTGGGACTCGGCCCCTGCAAGCATRTTGTGCAAACACAATTTTGAAGGCTAACCTTTCTTCACCAGATATGTAGGCAGTTCCGTTATTTATTTAATTCCTTTTTTTTTTTTTTTTTTAATATCCAAAGTAAGAAACCTGCAAGATGACAAAATGCAGAATGGCAGCCTGGTGAACTTGTCACAGCGATTTATTAGTCCAGATACAAAACTTACTGTGTCATACTGACCAGAGCACTTATCCCTTTAAAGCTGAATTATTTGCCACCAGCTAGTGGATAACTGGGATTTAGCAAGATCCAGAGCAGGTGTGTTATCCCAGAGGTGTCTGCAGATAGGAGTGCGCTTTTCCAGAGGCTCCTTGGGAAGCCAGTGGTGCTGATATGGGATGACCTTCCTGTGGGAAGCAAAGGGTGTGAGGGGAGCGGAGATGACACCGCGCCGCCCTGCAGATGCTCCTCTTCTCCCACCTCCCCATGGGCAGCGGAGGAGGTTGGTTTGGTTTTTGAAGCTCCACGTAGGAAAAGTTTCACTGTTCACTACAAATACAGTCGTTTTTGCGGCATGGTAATTATATGCTGTAGTTTTATCATTATCTACTAAAACAGTTCATTTAGCTCATTGTCTCCCAAGGCCCTTTTCTATAGCAAGAAACGTAGCTTGGTAGCTTAGTGGCTGTCTTTAGACTTTCTTAATATGCCTCTGCTGTTTTAAAATGAATAGCTGAAGCAGCCGTATCTTTGGCGGTGGCAGCTCCGAAGGTTTTTCTGTGGGTGACTGCCTGAGTCAGCACGATCCCAACTGCAGCTCCTGGTGACAACCGTGGTGGTGGCAGCCTTGTAGGAGCCCATATTGACAGAGGGAACGTGTCCACCAGAATGTCACCCGCTCTTCTCAAAGGTGGGATACATCCAGGCTCTCCAGGAACGTGGTAGGGGAGGAGGTGACGAGTAGTGAGGATGTAGAGAGGCGTTTTGCTGATCAGTGACGGTTGAGAGAAATCTGTGGGCATCAGTGTGTATAAATACCTCAAGGGAGGCAGTGAGGAGGTGGGGGCGGCCTCTTCTCAGTGGTGGACAGCAATAGGACTAGAGGAAACGGCCACAAGCTGAGGCACCAAAAGTTCCACRGGAACTTAAGGAAACATTTCTTGACAGTGAGGGTGACAGAGCCCTGGAGCAGGCTGCCCAAAGAGGTTGTGGAGTCTCCTTCTTCGGAGATCTTTAAAACCYGCTTGGACGCAGCCCTGTGCCACGTGCTGTAGGTGACCCTGCATGAGCAGGGGGGTTGGACTAGATGACCTCTGAGGTCCCTTCCAACCTTAAGCATTCCATGATTCTATGATCTACAAGGAAAGTCCAACTTCCAGTGCAGTAAAGGTGGAAAATGGCATGAAAAGCCCTTTAGCAAGTGTTTCTCTGAAATTTATTAAATTTTTCTCATGATTTCTGTGTAAAGTCAACTGTAAAATTACCATTTCAGAATGGCTGCATCCTCAGCTGGCTTGCCAGTATTCTAAGAAATCAATAATCAGAGGAAACTCAATATTATTTAAGGCAGTGGCTTCAACTAAGACAGTAACTGAATCCAAGGGCATCGTTCTGAGTCCTCAGATGAGTGTGCAGATCATCAGCTGCATGAACAAAGTTTGGAGTTTTCCATTCGGTATGGAAATAAGAGCCAATATGGAAGTCAGAGATTTGAGTTCTCTGCTGTTTCCTGTAATTACCCAGAGGAGATAATAGAAACTGTCTTATGCAGCACCTACTATAGACGGGGGTTCCACTTTGTTCTACTTTTAGATAGAACTGTTAGCACGAAGTTTCTCCGCGATGCTCTTCAGCCTCTGTATTACGGTGAGTTAATGCTGCACAGTGCGTTGCRTGACTTCTTGTAGCACAGTGATAAAGGGAGGGCAGCGGTAGCGTTGCCCTGGTCTAGCAGCTCCCAACCCCATGTAGTGCTGTTGTTCTGGTGGTTATTTCACTCAAGGAGCTATAAACGGGAATGARCTCCAGGTTTGGGAAACAACAAGCTGCCAGGCTGGCCACACCACGATGGCGATGACTCCTGAAAAGCAGCAACAAACGTAAGGGTTGGTTTTGCCGGTAGGCTGCGTCTGCCTTTCTTTACACGGCCCTGGAAAGCAGGGGGAAAGTGGAAAGGGAGTTCTGCTGGGGAGGGTTGTGGGGAGCTGGGATGAGGGGAGGACACTTGGATGGAGCTGGGGCTGTGGGAACAGCCTGGGCTGAAGGAAGAGCGYGAGGGCGGCTGGGGCGCCCGGGAAGGGGCAGCCAGGGAGCTGCCGGCCTCGTCRGGCAAAGGGAGGCGCTGGCAAGGGGTTTGCTGGGCGCCGGGTGGTTGTTTATGGTTTTGCTGGGCGCCGGCTGGCATTTTGCTGGTCACTGGATGTTACTTTACAGTTTTGCTGGGCGCCAGGTGGTTGTTCCCGRGAGGCGGCCCCGAAGCCTGGTCGGCTGCTGTGGTGGAGCTCGAGGGGGGCCAAYGTGCCCCAAGGATGTCCGGAGGAGCTGCGAGGGTTGGTACTGGGGCGCTCGGCTGTGTGGAGGGAAAGCATCTGGAGGCACCAGGGTGGTGTTTCGGGACTGGAAACGGCAGAGCTTAAATCTCACAGATCTGAAGGGCTGTGAGG